TTCAATCAAGGCCTCTTGAAGAGTCGCCACCCTCTTTCGAACCAAATCAAATTTGAAGGTAGACCCGTCTTTGAGACCTCTGAAAAAGTCAGTATAGGCTACCTCATCCGGTAACCCTTGAATCTGTATTCTCATCAGGTTAAACCGCCTGATGTAAGAACGAAGCCCCTCCTTCTCACCCTGCTGAATTGTTCCTAAATCAAGGGTCGTTTTCTTCGTAGGGATGTTCATGGCGAAGTTGGAGGTGAATAAGTAAGAAAGCGTCCTGAAGCTATTTACACAACCAGTCGGCAGGTTGCCGAACCATTGTTGTGCGATTCCTTTGAGAGTCGTTGGGAAACACTTGCACCAAGTGGGATCATCCAACCCTTGAAGGTACATCAGGTTGGTGAATGCCATCAGATGGTCTTCTGGGTTAGTAGTGCCGTCATAGGCGCCTACTAGTACATTTTTCACTTTGGCCGGCTGAGCGGCTTCAGTAATTTCCTTGGAGAAGGCCGACGGCTGTTCACCAAGTCTAAGCAACCGTAGCTGCCAGTCCATAGGTTGGACGTTTTTTGCTGCAGGTCCACCAAACGGAGGTGGCTGCAAAAAATACTGTTGTTGCGGCACAAATGGTAAGTTTGGTACCGCCTGGTCGCTATGAAAGCCGGACTGACGGGAGGTGCCGCCTGACTGACTCTCACGATACGACTGAGTATGCCTCATCGAGGCATTTCGCAGACTGTCTTGAAAGTTTGAAGTAGAGGCCGACTCTAACAGTCGGTCACTCTTCTTCTGCTCTAGCAGTAGCCGAGCGTCTGTGAATGTTTTCTTCGACCCGTCCGCCTGAATATGACGAACAGGTTTCCTATTTCCTGTAGGAAAACGGAATTTTGTGAAATCAAGGGCAGGCGGCTCCCGCTTCCTAGATTTAGGATGAGGAGTCGCCTCTCGCCCTTGAACTGGCTTCCTTTTCAGTGAAGTGATGGTTTCTTAGCCGACTGCTCCTTGACTGGAGCAGGCGGCTTCTTGTTGATCAACTCTTGAATCTCTCCCTTGAAGTCCCTCATGAAGGTCATGAGTTCGTTCCTTGTGATGTGAGAAGACCCATCAGTCGGCTGTTGCCGAACAGGCGGTGCGCCTGCTGGCTCACTTCCAGTTTGAAGATGTTCCCGTTCCCTCCTTTCGGTATGACGGGTGCGTCGGGCCCTTAGGGTCCCGTCTGAAGCTGTGTGAGCTTCAACTTCAAATTCACTCTCGGTATCATGGTCCGACTGAACTTGAGGGTCGTCTAGGGGACGCCTCTCTTCAGGAGTCGGTACAGACTTGGATGCCATCTCAGAAGTACTCTCCCCACAGACGGCGCCAAATGTTTCGGGGTTTTCTGATGTCCTGCGGGAGAGTTACAATTCCGAGACTGGAACCGGACGCCTGTACCTGCAAAATAACGGAGACTCCTGGTGGTGGGAGCTCCGCCTCCAACGGTCAAGTTAGTACTTGATTAAGGAGTGATTAATGCGGAAATTAAAGTGATTGGGTCTCTCTAGGTGAGAGTGTTTAATGTAGGTACTCTGCTTTGTTAGCGAGATCAGCCGGTTATTACTGTGTGTAATTAATGTGTTTTTTCGTTCTTCCCCTTAATGAGGATTAAGGGAGGTATTTATAACCTTGGGAAACGTGCCCATCCTAGGTTTAGGTTAACCTAGGGCCGATTGGGCTTCCCTCGGAAGTTGGGCCTGGGTGGCCGGTTTCTCCATTAGGCATGGAGTATGCCACATGTCATGACATAATAGGTCCAAGGTGGACGAATAAGCGCGTGCCACGTGGCAAGCCCTGACAGTTCCAACTGGGGGACACTTGGCAGGACCTGATTGGCCCACGTGGCGCATTCCGATTGGTAGGAGCAAAATCCCCTAATCAGCTATAATATTAGTTTAGCTAATAAATAGAAGCAAAAATATGTCCAAGCTAGGAATAACAATAGAAAGGTTAAAGCAAATTCAAATTAAACTATGACATCACATTCTTCTTCTTCCTCTTACTCGCTGCCTATTACATCTTCTTCTTCTTGTTCATTTTCCATACTATTCACTCCCTGCAAAAACAAAAAATAAAAAGTCTAGAATTAATATACTTTGTATTTCGAATGATATAACGTAAATGTATAACTAATGACAGGAAGAAAATAACAAATAAGAAAGGCATAAAATAATGGATACAAAGGCTTGAATGATTTTGCTGTTATGACGAATAACGAAATCTAATAGGGGTAATATCTTTCAAATGCACCAAAAATAGGAGAAAAATAATGAAGACATTAGTCACTATCTACCTCTACTTTGCGTAATTTAGAAATCAAAAGGTTTATACCTTGGATGTAGAAGCCGATGAATGAAGTCGAAGCATTCCTGTTGTATTACCATCCTTCTCAGATTGACTCTCAAGAAACAAAGATCCAAACATGCTTAGATCAAAAGAAATTTGAGGATTTTGTTGCTGAAGTTGAGAAAAGAAGGAGCTAAGACCATTTGCCATCTCCCTTCTATCTTGTTGCCTTTTATCCTCATAATCTTTTTGTAGAGCTTCAACCTCCCGAGTATGCTTGTCTTCAACTTCCTTCATCAAAGCTTTCTTCTTTAACTGAGTTGATGAAACACCCCTTCCATAAAGGTTTATCTGAGACTTTTTCTTGTTATCAGAATCAATAATAGTGGAAATTACACTATCAACATCCTTCTCTGAATCTTGAAGTTCATTCTACATTTTAAGACGAGAAAAAAAAAATTAGTAGTGACAAAATTAAAGCAAAAAGTATAGCCACATAAAATGAGAATAAATCTTACAATCAATTTGTCCCTTAGATCACCGGGCTTCCGCTTTGTGAGCTTTTCCTTGCGTGTTTCTATGAACATTTAAGCTAGAGTAGGATTTTGTGTTGTTTTTCTATCCTTTTTCTATACAAGAGTGATGACTGTCAATTATTTTAATGAAGAAATAAACCAATAATAAAAGTGACGAGAAAAGAAAGCAAACAAACTCACCCATTTATATCGAACCCTAGCAAAACTCTTCGGTCCTGAAGTATGCATAATGTTCTTTTCCTTTCCAACTAACCGATTTGCTTTATTTTGCATACACCGTTTCTAACATATTAAGATAATGAACTAATTAAATAACCTTTTTCATAAAACATAATCATCATGAAGGGAGGTGAGTATAAGACTTATACATGTGTAAATACCTCATATTTTTCATCATTCCAAATCCTTAACAATTCCTTGAACATTGTTTTTGGGACCCGTTTTGGTGGATCCATCAACCTCATTTTATCATTGTCATATTTATGAAAGTGTACTCTTTTCAAATAACATTTGTATCGTCTCCAAGCAGCGCCAATGGCTTGCAAAACCCATCTTTTAGCCTCAACTGGGACAATGTAATGTTTCTACAACAATGTACATGTCAATAATTGCAAAGATAATCAAGTTTAAAGAAAAAAAACAGAAATTTAAGTCATAATTATTGGTATGTGATTATCATAATTCAACATTTGCATTACTCGTTGATCTAAGTTACCGATAATTACCATATATGTTATAATACTAAAACAATTACAATAACCAATCAGGTTTTTTAGTCAAGATTTATAATTTTAATCGTAATTCATAGTTTCGGATCTTTCAGTAACAATTATATTTGACTATAAGCTGATTAATCCCCTTTTAATTTTAATTTTTGAGAAAAAAAAAAAAAAAAACAAGCTCACAACACACAATTGTGAAGGAACAAAGATAATGCAAGGAAATATATATTGCAATAATAAGTAATATTGTTGTTGTGGCGTATAAAATATATCATGCTCATACATTATTGATTTTCTAAAAAAATAAGGTATATGTAAACTTACTGTGACATATCCCCAAAGTTCATCTTGCTTTTCATTTCTTAACTTTGGCAACTTAGGAATAGTTAATGGTAATACATTTGCCTTTCGAGCTATTGTTCCCAAGAAGCTAATAAACTCATTGCATGTATCATCATCCGGACCAACAGGTTGACCATGCTCATTCAAAGTAATTTCCAAGCGTTCATCTTCAGTTCTTCCATGGACTTTATAACACATAAGGGACCTCTTCTTGACTTTTCAATTCCATCTATCTCAATCAATTCAATTCAAGATTTTAAAGATTATCAATATATAAGAAAATAATATAATCCAAATAATCTAAGTGTAAAATCAGTCCATATGCATAAATAAACTAGTTTGGGCCCTAGTAGATTTAGATAATGTAATATAAATTTTTAGAGCAATCAGCTTCAATCACATCCATGCATAAAGAACAAACAGTAATGATTAGATCATGCAATTTATAATGCAGAATTAATTATGATAACTTAAGACTCTAATTTAATGTTCTAATTGTTTAGTCATAAATAAGAACATATTGATTTAGTTTCTTGGTTTCAGAACAATTTTATTTACAAGATTATGAACTTAGAGTGTCCAAACACTTTACAACAAGTAAACTAAGGTTCATTAATAATAATAAATAAATAAGTAAAACAAATTAGACTTGATTATTCAAATATACAAAGGGAAGCATGACTTGCCATTTTCAAAATGAGTGTCACTCTTACTTGAGAGCCCCAGTGCAGTTTCAGTAGGTTGCTGCACTGCAACGTCATTTGTATCTATTGCTGATGAAATGGGCTCAAGTTTTTGTTGACGCTTCTTATAAGCCATTGCCATTGCTATTGCTTTTCGAGCTCTTTTCATTTTGAAAATCTGTAGAACATGCATTAAATATATATATATATATATATATATATATATATATATATATATATATATATATATATATATATATATATATATATATATATATATATATATATATATATATATGGGCAAAAGCTGTTTTTACCAACATATTTGTCATTCAATTAAAGAAACCAATGCTACTGTGTGCTAATCATAATGAGGAGACTTGCTTTGTAGTTACAAATAAAAAAAGTATTCAATTACAGTTAGAAGTAATTACCTTCTTACGATTAGAGTTGGAGCCTTGATTACTTAAAGTCTCCTTGATACGTGTCCCCTCAAAAGAAGAATCATGCTCATGCTCATCAATGTCAGAATCTTGGTCTGGCCTATATATCTCATCTTCCTCCGCATCTTTCTTTTTATTAATTTTCCCACGGCTGCCTTTTTCAGTTTGATATCGACCCATCAATGACATAGCCTTTTCATGCAGCCCTAAAGCTTGCATTTTTAGAACATTTTCTCTGATCCTTTGCAATCTTGACCTCTCATAATCTGGAATTCTTGTTTCATCAGTGTGAAACTGTCGATTGCTTGCTCCCAATTTAGTGGATTTTTTCTTTTCCATTCCTACAATTAAAGATAAGTAAAAAGTGCATTTGTGAAAATCGTTATAAAACTTATAAAAAGTAATGCACATAACATCGGGATAAAAAAGTAAGTAGAGTTATTTTAAAATAGGGTGTTGCACGTGCAGTGGGATGCAACATGTAAGAAGGGGAAGGGGGGTTAGTGCAGCTATTGGAGAGGGGATGTGGTAGGAAGCTGCAGTAGCAACGGTACATCAATAGCAGGCACCATTTGCTGCATATCAATTGGAACAGTGCAGGTAGCAGGCTGGCTTCATAGTCGTACCTTAGGCAAGACAGTAGTGCAACAGAAGTTTTATGTAGTTTTATAGCTATGCATATGCAGGCTAGCAAGAAAAGTGTAAATGGATAGTAGGCTAGTATAACTATATAAGGGAATAGTAGCTAAATTACAAATATACAGGCTAGCAAGAAGAGTTTTAATGGACAATAGGCTAATATAACCATATATATAAGGGAATGATAGCTAAATTACAACCAATAAAAGGTAAACCAGCACTCAAATTACAAACTTATGGAAGAGTAGGCAATATAGGGTATATTTCGGACTTGAAGATATGCCTTAGGTCATGATTTATGTTATTCATGGAGTGATAGTAGATAGCAACGTTATAATTTATACAAGAATCAACATGGTCTCCCCTGCCAAGGGAAAAGTATAAGGAAATAGTAAACAAAATCATTAGAAAGAATGATTTCAAGCCTGAAACCACCTTGGAAATCTGTATATAGTAGGAACCTTTTCGAAATTATTAGAAACCTGATGTACTGCAAATATTACTACACTAGTCATTCGATTTTTCATGATCAAATTCATACACTCTAACATAGGGATGAATTAGTCTTATAAGAAATGCATATATTAAACATCTTGAAGATACCCTGATATCTTTACTACCAGGACTTCCATGACAAGCGTTCTAGATGTTGCTTGTTACAGTTTCAGCATTAACACCTCTGAGGACTCCTTTTCTCTTTCAATTGCTTCAAAAAACATGACACTAGAAAGCAATGGGACTCTAGTTGACATGAACATAAGGTTTGCTAAGTAGGAAGGCCCATAATCGAATCTTTACAGTAGTCCCTTATTCTGACCCTACTGCTTTCATGAAATAAAAGACTTCGTTTAGCTAAGTAAACCATATAATGTGAATGACAGTGTGTCCATGTCTTTATGTTGTGTTCATCTTATTTATTATCGCAGTCATCTATTTAGCTCAAACCATTCATCAAAGAAAACTTGCTTGATTCCAGAAATTCAAATGGAAGTTGAAAAACATGACAGGAAAGGAAAAGTGTAAACAGGGATATCAGAGGTACAGGGTAAAAAAAGAGGACAAATGAGGGAAAAATTAGCCTACTAAATTGGTCAAGGGTTCAGACAAATGTTTAAGTGATTGTGTTGTTTACGCAACAAATGGATACCATTATTATACAAGTGGGTTAATCAAACAACAATCAAACCTTAACATAACTATGGGTCTTATACGATATCCAATTGTCATTCCCAACAAAGCATAATATCATTCAAGCTTTCTATCATATTGCAATTTAAGGATGATAATTTATAATTAAAGCTTAAACAAATAATATATATCATTCATCAAAATCAACCCAACATCAAAATTAACCATATTAAGTAGTAAAAGGGAATATGGTTACTTACAACTGGAATTCCGAGATAAATGACGATTTCACCGGCATCAAATCTAACTAGACAATCTTGAAAGCAAATTAAAGTGTGAGTAGAGAGCAAGCCAGCAAATTAAGTGCAAAACAAATTTGAGATTATTTAACCCCTAACCTGAGCAGAGAGTAGGAAGAAAGCAGATCAAGAAATGAAAAACAGTGAAACTGATTCTTGGGAAAATTTTGGAGCCAAAAAAAATTCCCATTTGCGCGCTTTTTTGGAGGTTATGGGGATCAAGAAATGGAGTTATGGAGATCATGGGGGTTTTTATTTTTTTATTTTTTTTTTGGAAATGGTTCATCTGGTTTCGTTGGTCTGAGCCTCAGAACTTGTTTCTTTGATGTTGGTTATTGTTATAGCCTGACATGTTGTAGGGGCCTTTGTTAACTTTATAATATTGCTCCCCCTTTTTTAATCTTTTTCATAAAAATACAAATAAATAAATAAAAAGTGTTCACCAATTCACTACATAGGTGGATAGGCTAGCTATATACAGAGTATTTCACTTAAAGGTGTCAAAATATGTTCCAATCTGAAATCAACTCAAAAAAAAAAATATTAAATAAAAAAACCTCAATTCGATCAAACTTCGACTCGCATGGACTAAATAATTTAGTATAACTCAAGTTTGAAGTTAGACTCGACTCGACCCAAGCTCAACAAATCCGACCCAAACACCCGAATTGACACCTCTAAATTTCCACTTTGTCAAAAAAAAAAAAATTTATGTTGTCCATAATTGATTGGCTGTTTCCTATCATTATTTTTAAATATTATCATAAAAAATAAAAAAAAATACAAAAAAAAAATAATATTTTCACATAGATACTCCCTCGGTTCCTTTCAATGTTCGTCTCCCTTAGACTATGCACTACCATGACTAAAAATAACTTCCATTGCATATTAGTAACACATATAATGATTGAATATTAATAAACTATTCATTGAGATGAATCAAATAATGCCCAATATGATTATGTACTTATGTTTTAATATTTAAAGTAATTTATAATTATGTCATCCTATAAATTATTAGGTTAAACCCCGTGCAAGACGCACGGTTGTTAAACAGTTATAATGAAAACCAAATTATAGAAATGGTATAAAAATATAAGGACTCGACACACCAATTATTCAATTATGAAGTATATAACCACATATAATAGTTATAATAAGAAATATAATATTTTAGAAATTTTAATTTAGATTTATGTAAAGCAAATGCCATTATTTGGATACAATCCTTCATTATGGTGAGAATACTATTTTTTTTAATTAAAGTACATAACTTAGTTTATTGATAAACTGTAATTAATTGCATAGTCACTTATCAGCCTTTAGCTCTTATCTGAACTTGTCAAAATTATCATATGAGCTTATTTTGTATTATTTATATACACCAATCAACCCTAACCTAAACTTATGCAACCTTATTTTTACTAATTAAAGTAAGTAAAAAAAAAAGGTGAACAGTATGAAGTTATTTGTAATAATGTTTAACAAAGTTTTTATGTCAAGGTTTAAATTTATACAAATACGAAAGTCAAATTGTATATATACAAAAGAAACATAGACACTTTTACCAGGCCATTAAGTTTTATAGTTATGTGACAGTCAAATTGTTTTATCATGCTTATAAGTCATGATGCTTAAAATACAATTACTTATCCATTGTTCTTTTACACATAAGTCATTTAAACTCGTGATTTTCATGAGTTAAAATCTCTTTGATACTGATTTGACCAGAATTAAACTCAATCTGATTTCAATTTGACAAATATGAACTCAACTAGACTCAACATAGACCTATAAATTGATTATTCTAATCTCTATTGAGCGTACATGAGGTTAACCCAACTTGATTTTTTTTCCAAACTTATCATTGTCTATATTTCTTATTTTTTAAAAATTAAACACAATTACTTTTTGCATGTACTATTTTATTTCATTAACAATGAATAATTTTTTCCTTGAAGGATAAACAAAATAATAAGTTTGTGGTTATCAATAAGGTATTAGTTTTTTATTTGTCATCTCACCTATATAGCTATTATTATATTTTTCCAATTCAATATTACTTAAGATAGTTGATAAAAATAATTAGTAAAATACTTATATAGGTATTTTAAGTCACCAAATTTCATACGAAATTTCTAAGTTCACAACTCTAGCTCTAACTAATAGTTAATTACTCATTGATTATCACACACTTTTTCATCTAACTTTTGCTAATCATACAGTAAAAAAATGTACTCTGTACTTATAGCATACATTGATTATAATCTTAATTTATTTAATTGATAATTAAGAGTAAAATTTAAGCTCAAGATTAAATAATTGGCCTGGTTTTACTAATCATTCATATATAGTAGTTTTTCTTTCATTTTTTTTAACTGTACAGAGTAACTTTTTTTATTACTTTTATAAATTTATACAAAGTAAACAAAATCTCTTTTAATAAATATATTATTATTACTATTATTATAGATTGGCTTGAAGGTAATGCTTAGTACGAAATTATCTCATCTAGCATCTTGATTACTAACATATAGCAGTGTTCATGTAATAAAATCAAAGAAATTTTGTCCATAAGTACCAATAAAACACGTGTTTTGGAAACAACTACCTATTAAAATTTACTCTAACAATTCCGGCTAGAATCTCCTGCATGTGGGTTTCACTTTTTACCTTTATGAAGGGTAATTTAGTATATTCAGGTGGATTTTATGAGGGAAAGGTAAAAAGAGGGACTCACATACGGGAGATTCTAGCCGGAATGGTTAGAGTGGTAGTGTCAGTTATAATTTTTAAAACTATGAGGTAATTTTATGAAAAATTAATAGATAATTGTTTCCAAAATACATGCTTAAATTAGTGATTCTTGACCAAAAAATTTAAAATAAAAAACAAAACAAAAAAGGAAAAAAAAAAACAAAACAAAACAAACTCCAAGTAATTCGTTAGAGTTTAGCATTCGTCACACAACAAACCAAGAACAAAATTCCCACAAAATCAATCAGACTAACGTGATTCCCACAAAATTTCCACAAAATCAATCCCATAAAATTCCCACAAATTCCCACAAATTCCCAATTAAGAATCCAAAAGATTGCTCTCTGTTATTCTAAACTCCAAAATATTGCTCAAATTTGATTTTGATTTCTATTTTCTGGTATTCAAGACAGTGGAGAATTAATATAGATTGTTTGGGGCATCATCTTATCTATTTTCTGGTAGATCGAGGAAGCAACAAAGACAAGTAAGTTCTAAGTCGACTCAACTTGCTTTTGTGTTGTTCGATAATATGTAACTTCATCCTATTTCGTACATGATTTCTGGAAATTTCTAATTTCCAATTTCGTATAATACCCTTTTTTTATTAGATTTAATAGAGGATACTAAGGGTATATTGTATTCATCTTTTATACTTGTTGTTACAACAATATGTGTAAAAAAATTAGGATGATTTTGGATATTTGTTGCTTTATTAATACATGCTGATTTCTTGTCTTCTATAAGGAATTAGATTATGAATTACCATATTTGCAGTTTTGGTATTTTAAAGTCTTATTATGTCAGGCCTTATTAGGTTTGAAAAATACAGATTTATTTTTTTTAAATCAAATTAAATTAGATACGTATGTTTATGCTTTAATTGGTTTGATTATCTATATTAATATATAATCATAAATAGTTTAGCAATATTATTAGTGAACATTTCTGTTAGACATCAAAATTTGAAACTTGATGCCACAAAAGGCCTGGAACCAGAAAAGAAGGCCGGCATATAATTGACTTATTCCATTTACATTTTGTTGGAATCTTGAATGGAAATAATAATGCTCTTAGCTAACACTTATTGTGGGGTAACATACATAATCCTTAGTTGTTGATCTCCTTATAACTTCTTATGTCGTAGAGTATTAAAATGGCAAATATCAATAAAGATTGGATTGATGGACCCCAAAATGCCGAAGAATATATTAAAGGAGTTGGAATTTTCTTGAATTAGCATTTCTAAATTCAACCATGGAAGTTGGGGAAGATGATGAACCGAAAATTTTATGCCCATGTACGAAGTGTGTTAACAGATTTTGGTTCACTAGGGAGGTGGTTTTCGATCACCTAATTGCTCATAGATTTAACAAGAGGTATAAAGTGTGGAATTTTCATGGCGAAGGACTGACGGCAGGGTCTTCTTCAAGGGGAAGTGGGCATCAATGTGATAATCAAAACACATTAGACAATATGGGTGAGATGATTAATGATATATTCAGAGATGTTATGGGAGGTTCCACCTCTAAAGCAGAAGGAATTCACAAGGGTCTTGATGAGAGTGCTAAAAAGTTTTTTAAACTGTTAGAAGATGCAAAAGAAGAATTATATCCAGGTTGTAAAAATTTTTTAGTGCTTTCATACACAGTGCAACTTTATCTACTTAAATACCTTAACGGGTGGAGCAATTCTTCTTTCGATGATTTGATGAAACTTCAATGTGCTGCATTTCCATCAGCAAAGCTCCCCACTTCTTTTCATCATGCTAAAAAACTGGTGAAGAACCTTGGACTTGATTACAAACAAATTGATGCGTGTCCCAATGATTGTATGATGTATTGGAAAGAGCGTGCAAATGACAAGTCTTGCCATGTTTGTAAAGCTTCTAGGTGGAAATTAAATGAGAAACAAAAAGAGGAAGGTGCATTGCCCGACGAAGGAGTTCCTGCAAAAGTTTTGCATTACTTTCCACTTAAACCTCGTCTACAAAGGTTGTTCATGTGCTCTAAGACGGCTGAACTTATGACATGGCATGAAACTGATCGTAAGAAAGATGACAAATTAAGGCATCCTGCTGATGGACAAGCTTGGAAAAATTTCGACATTGCGCATCCTCAATTTGCAAGTGATTTTCGAAATGTGAGGCTTGGTCTTACTACTGATGGTTTCAACCCGTTCAGAACTATGAGTGTGTCACATAGTATTTGGCCAGTTGTTTTATCCATTTATAATTTGCCTCCTTGGTTATATAATAAGTCTGAGTATAATATCATGTCTTTGATTATACCTGGTCCTTCTTCTCCAGGTTATGACATAGATGTTTACTTGGAACCGTTAATCGAGGAATTGAAGGAGTTATGGGAAGTTGGAGTTTACACTTATGATGCCGTGAAAGATGAAACATTTTCATTAAGGGTTGCCTTGTTATGGGCAATCAGTGAATTTCCTGCTTATGCAATGTTGTCGGGATGGAGTACTAAAGGAGAATTTGCTTGCCCGAATTGTAATCATAAGAATTGGTCCAAATACCTTAAGTATAGTAAGAAAATGTGTTACATGGGACATCGTAGCTCTTTGAAAGAAAATCATCCATGGCGTCGTAATAAAGGAGCTTTTGACGGTAATGTAGAAACAAGGCCTCCTCCTACTAGATTGTCGGGTTTTGATGTATTAAAAGATCTAGAAGGGTTTGAAAATAAATTTGGGAAAACTCAAAAGAAAGGTTGGAAGAAATTTCCTTGAAAGTAGAAATCCATTTTCTTTGAGCTTCCTTATTAGGAAATTAATACTTTGCGTCATAATCTTGATGTTATGGACATTGAGAAAAATATCTGTGACAGTGTGCTTGGTACTTTTCTTGATATCCCATGAAAGAATAAAGACCATGTGGCAGCCCGCTTTGATTTACAAGATATGGGTATAAGAAATGAACTCCATCCAAAGAGAACTAATAATAGAGGGAAGCGTTTATACTCCAAAGCTTGTTTTTCCTTATCTTCTAATGAAAAAGACTTGTTTTGCAGTGTGATAAAAAGTGCTAAGTTTCCCGATGGTTGTGCATCAAACATCTCTAGATGCGTCCAATCCCATGAGAGGAAGGTTACTGGTTACAAGAGTCATGATGCCCACTTTATCCTTCATTATTTGCTCCAAGTTGCTGTAAAGAATACCCTGCCTAGCAAGTAGCATCAACTTTTATTAGGCTAGGATCCTTTTTTAGGGGTCTATGTAGGAAAATTCTAAAGCCTAAAGATCTTGACGATCTTGAATCTGAAATCATAGAGATACTTTGCCTACTTGAGAAGATATTCCCCCCCCCCCAGTTTCTTTGACATAATGGTCCACCTTCCACTTCATCTTGTAGATGAAGTAAGGCTTGGGGGGCCTGTTCAAGGTCGTTGGATGTATCCGAAAGAGCGATTTTGGGTAAACTGAAGTCATATGTAAAAAATAGAAGTCGACCCGAAGGCTCCATTGCAGAGGCCTACTTGGCAGAAGAATGCCTTATTTTTTGTTCTCGGTATCTTCACGATGATTTTAGTTCAAAGTTGAATCGGGCACCTAGAAATGATGATGATACTGCCTCCAATGAAGATGGAAGCCTTTTTCCTAGTGTTGGACGTCCTTTAGGCGTAAAAAAGATAAACAAAGGCAAAAAGGTTTCTCTATATGAAGACATCTTGATGAAGGCTCACCGCTATGTACTCTTTAATTGCGATGAAATCAGTGATTACATAAGGTCAGTAAGTAATTTTAAATTGGTACTATTTCATATTAACTATATTTAATCTTTATTATTTATAATTGACTAATGCAACTAAGTTGCTTTGTCATATGTATGTAGTGAACATCAAGATTTAGTGAATCGTCATAGAAGTCAAGGTAGACGGGGTAAGCGGAGTAGGTGGGCGAGAGCACAAGAACACAATCATGATATTGGAGCATGGTTCAAGGACCGTGTACGGGAAGAAAATGTTTCCAAATAAATCAAGGCTTTATCCCAAGGTCCTGACTATACTGTGAGAAGTTTTACAGGGTACCTAATAAATGGTAACAAATTTCATACAACTGCACATGAGTCAAAAAGGAAAACTCAATGTAGTGGAGTTAGTGTAACATCTTCAATGTCGAGTTTTGCAAGTTCCAGGGATCAAAATCCTGTTGTTGGGGACGTCAAATATTATGGAGTGGTGGAGGATATCATTGAGTTAGATTATTTTGGACATTTCAAAGTGGTATTGTTTCGCTGTAAATGGTTTCAAGTGGAGCAAGATGAGTTTGGGCTAACATGTGCAAATTTTAAAAGGTTATGCTATACTAATGACCCTTTTGTGATGGCTAATCAAGTAAACCAAGTTTTTTATGTGCAAGATTCCAAAGAAAAGCATTTGCATTACGTTACGGAAACTGTTTCGGGGTTTTCTGATGTCCTGCGGGAGAGTTACAATTCCGAGACTGGAACCGGACGCCTGTACCTGCAAAATAACGGAGACTCCTGAGAGCTCCGCCTCCAACGGTCAAGTTAGTACCTGATTAAGGAGTAATTAATACGGAAATTAAAGTAATAAGACCTCTCTAGGTGAGAGTGTTTAATGTTGGTAATCTGCTTTGTTAGCGAGATTAGCCGGTTATTAGTGTTCCGTAATGTTTCTGTTCTTCTCTGTTCTTCAGGTGAGATTAATTGCTTCTCAATTGCTTGATGTTCTCTTGATTTCTTGATTGCTGGATTAATGAGGATTAATTAAGTATTTATAGTCTCGAGAAGCGTGCCACTCTCTAGGTTTAGGGTAAACCTAGGGCTGACCGGGCCTCTAGACAGGATTGGGCCTTGTTGGCCGGTTTTCCCATTTGGCATGGGTGGACACGTGGCGTGCCTCGATTGGTCCGTAGAGGACGTATCTGTGATTGACACGTGGCAGGCTCCTATTGGCCTTCGTGAAGGACACGTGGCGGAACCTGGTTAGTCCACTTGTCAGACGGTGATTGGTGGATAAAAATCCCCTAATCATTTGCCCCTCACAGGTGGCACGTGACTGGTCACGTGTCGCCTGTGACAGGTGTCGCACGGTGACAGGCGACGGCCTGCTACAGGTGTCACCTTGCAAACGGCCGAGAGATTTTCCCGCCCAAATTTTGAATTTGGAAGCGACCCTTCGCCTTCTCACTTTGCCTATATAAGGAAGTGCTGACTTCGGTCATTTTCACATTTGAGAACTTTGCGAGAACATTCGGACCCCTGAACTTGCTCTGACATTTCGGACCTTTTCTGCCTACCGCCTGTTCTGACAAGCCGACTGCACCGGATTTCCAGAACTTCATCAACCGTCACTCGTTCAGGTAACTCAGTTCTCTTACTCTTAATTTTCTTTTTATTTTTTGAAATGGCACCACGGAAGCACACGACACGACCTAAGTTAGTGATCAGCCGGTCACCGGGGACGGCTGAATCTAGGACTAGGAGTGCCGCCTGCCCTTTTCTGGACCCATCTTTGCCCTTTATACAAAGTCCGACTGTATCTGTGTCTATGCAGAACGTGATGGCAAGAACAAAAAAGACTGCTATGATATCAAACTCAGACGGCTCCTCCCAAAGGGTGCTCCTTAGTGAAACATCTGACCAGGCGCCAGATGTAGAATTGAAACGAGACGGCTGCCAAGCCGACAGTTCTGAGAGAGGGGCCAAGGTGGTCCCTTCCCATCTTACCGTTGACATGTCTAATTTTCCTCCTGCTCCTTCTAAGGGAGAGGAGGCGGGCCCCTCTGGGAGAGGGGATGAGTCGTCCTCTTCGGACTCGTCAGAGGACGAGTCCGAGTCCAGCTCTTCTGGCCACAGTTCTCCAGGCTCAGAAGAAAGACATAGCCGCCTACAAGAGGCGAGACTTTCTCATGCAGTTGAGAAGGGGGACAATTGGGCGGAGCCGTCCGCCTCTTACAGAGAGGAAAACGCCCCCTACTACTGCATGGTACCCCGGGGCCGGATCGCAACCATGCAAGACAAAGTGGAGAACTTTATTGCTAACCACAGAATGGGCCCGGAATTTTTACTGTTCGTGCCGGATCCAGAAGACACTGTCGTCTGGCCGGCTGGTACCAGCTATGATGACGGCTGCTTTGGCTGCTATGTGGCGGCCATCAAAGCTGGACTGCGCTTCCCATTACATCCGGCTGTTCAGCGGATTTTAGATGGGTATGATTTGGGGTTATGGCAGTTAGCCCCCAACTCTTGGGTAAACGTACTCGGCTATGTGGCCGGGTGCGAAATGTACGGGGTGGAGCCAAGCTTTGAGGCTTTCGCCCACATGAACTATCTCAGCCGGACCCCTAAGTCGGGAGGTACCGGCTGGTATCAATTAACAAGCCATAGGGGTTACCTCATGACGAGAGGTAAGGCGAACAAATGGAAGGATTGGCGGAACACCTTCCTTATCATTGAGGGTTCAGACACGGAGCTGAACCAACGTTTTAACAAGTGGAATAGGGATCCGCCTCTTCTCGCAGACGGCCGCAGCATGCCGCCTGTTCCCCCAAAGGCTAAAAGAGAGATCCTAGACAAAGGACTCTTCAAAGTAGAGACTAGGGTGAACTCTACTTCAGGGGTACGAGAGCAAGTACCCCTACACTGCGTCCCGAGCTTCAAGTGGCTCTATGACGAGTACTTTTTGGCCGCCTGTGGCCTCAGCAGTCGGTGCTCTAGAGGTAGCCGGCCTGACAAATACTCTGTTTTTTTCACGCCTTGTTTACTTGGGATCTTTACTAACTTTGCTGTTTATTTTTTGCAGCTGACGCCATGAGTAAAATAACAGCATCCAAGACTGCGGCGGCCATGTTGCGGGCCTCTCTCATGCAACAGTCTTGTGCCGACTCCCCCAACAAGGGGGCACCCTTGGTAGGCTTCGAAAACTCTTCCTCTTTTAGGAGTTGTCTTATGCATATACTAACTCTTTTTGTTTTCAGTCTGGCACTCCAAGAGCTTCTTCCTCGCAACAGCCGGACCCCAAGGCCCGGAGGACGACTGTTGCAAGCTCTCCTGGGTCTTCCAGGAAAACAGTGGCGGCTGAGAAGCAGCCGGCCACTTCTTCTAAAACCCCGGCGGGGCCGCCTAGAAGTATGGACAATCACTTGTAAAAACTTTCACACTTGCTTCCTTCTTGACTAGGTCTAACTTGCTTTTTTTTTACGCTTGATGCAGCCGGCCCTTAGGGGCTTGACTTGGTTGAGGTAGCCAAGTCCATGATCAAAGTAGTTCCTCCATCTGAAACGGAGGCGGTCAGGGGTGCCGGCACCCTTGACCTTGATGGGATTTCAGGGGTCCTTGCTGAGGTATACTTAGCATATTTTTGAGTATTTGAGTTCCAGGACGCCTGTTATCTTTTTTGATTGGAAACTGACGCCTGTTTTTTTTTTTTTTTTTTTTTTTTTTGTACTTAGGCCCTGCTCCGAGTTAACAGCCTTCGCAAGCCGATTGATCGGAAAAACAAAGAGGTAAAGGCCGCAAAAGCTATGGCCGCCTCCAACTGTGATAAGGCAATGTTTCAAATTGCCCAAAATGAAGTACTGACCATTGATATTCTTTATTATCAGGCGCAGGCTACCGCCGCTGTTCGGGCTCAGTTAGAGGCGGCCCAGAAGAAGAATGACGAGCTGGAGGCGACCGTCACAAATCTTAAGGCCGAGCTGAAACCTCTTCGCCAAAAAATGCACTCTTACGAAGCCATGGAGAAATCTTTGGCCAACGTAAAAGAACGCCTGGTGAGCCAAGAGAAGAGTCTTACCCAAGAGCTCTCGGAAAAGGCCCAGCAAGAGAAGAAAGAGCTCGTCCGGGAGATGGTGGAAGACTCCGCTCAAATCCAGCGCATGACCTGGGGCCGCCTGTTCCCCAATGCCGACTTTGCCTCATGGGAAAGAACGTACCGCCAGTGTTCGGAAACATATAATCAAGAGATCCTGGCGGCTGCTGAAGAAGAGGCGTTGGAAGGTACGTTGGAGGAGGAGGAAGAGCCGGTTGTGGCGCTTGTGCCACTTGGGGGTAAGGCATCAAAAGAGGGTGCAGCTAAAGCCGAGTCTAGCAAGAAGAGTGCTGACCAGGCGGCAGCTGCTAATACTGAACTGCCCCCTTCTTAAGCTTAAAGTATATTTTTTTTTCACGGCCTGCGTGCCGTTTGCTTTGTATTTACCCGGCCAGGGGGCCGGGGCTTTGAATATTCTGCTGGTCTTTAATGACCGGCTTATTTTTAATCAAATTTTTGTTTTGATTCAAATTTGTCTAAGTATTCCATATCTAATATCCCATTGTTCACTAGACCGACTGTTGTACATGGCCGAACGTTGCAGACAGGTACAAATAGTAAGTACGCCGCCTATGCCCCTGGACTACTGGTTGTCTGTTTCCAGGATAGACGATCAGTCGGCCATTTATTCAATCGGTATTCGAACTATTTATTCAATCGGTCTCACCAAGTAAATAGTATTACCTAGTCGCCAAGGAATTAAGTAGGATAACAAGAGGCGGGTACCGGTTGTTTCCCTTTATTGCCAATGTTGGCTTTTAACTCGTAATTTGTTAACCTAGCAAGAGTAGTGGTTGAGAGCCCCTGTTTATTAAAAACGGGCGGACGACTCATACCTTTTAGGCTCCATACTAAGTTTGAGTGACTATTAAGTTAACATAGGAGTTACTTAGTCTTCGTCACAATCTAGATTGAGTAGTAGAGGTACCAGGCGGCGTAGGCCGGCTAGACCCCTTGATTCGCCAATGTTTGTTGGCTATTAACTCAATAGGTACCCCCTGCATTTATCCCAAGTAATACAGGCGGTCATCTGACTCAGATGTCAACTGCTACCACTGGTTTGGTTAGTGATAGAGTTATCCTTGTCTCAAAAACGGCTACGTGGTTGCCCTTGGGGACAGTCGTATAGGTGCCGTGTAATTAGTTTATAGAACAATGTTCCACCCAAAAGGGAGCTGCTCTCTGCGACGAATTTCATC